ATTATTTATATAATATATTTAATAATATATTTATTTAATATATTTAATATATTATTTATTTAATATATTATTACATGTTTTTAAAAATTAAATCACCAAACGCAGTTTTAATTTTTTTTAAAACTGAAATCAATCTCTAAATAAAACTACCAAACGTATTTTCAAAAATAATTCAAAAATGAAACTAAAAACGTTTTATTTTTATTTTCGTACAGAAAACAAAAACATTTTGAAATCAATTCCAAACGCACCCTTAATTTTTTCCATTTCCACTTCTCTCACACGAGTCAGGGACGTCCGTTGGATCTCCATCGGTGTCCAGGGAATTGGAAAAGCATCAAAATGCCAAATCAACTCCCTCACCGGACCGATTTAAGAAACCTCCTGTGGCGATGGAGCTTCGATCTCCTGTGCCGGAGAATCACACCTCGCCGGCGTCGGAGAGTCTTCCGCCGAAGTCTCCTCTGCCTCTTCCGGTATTTGATTTTAAAGAAGGTACCAGGACGTCGTGGAAGCTCGCCAGAGAAGCTCCTAGGCTCTCTCTGGATAGCAGGGCCACTATGGACGCTAAGGGAAGCCTTTACCCGAAAGAGATAAGAACCAACGCAGCAATTCAACAAACTTCAATATTGATTTTTTTTAGATGAAAGAGAGATGCAGAGAGTTGGTTCGAAAACGAATTGGGTTTTCTTGAAGAGAGCTGCTGCTGGGATTTCTTATGGCCTTGGTGGTATGTCTTCTTCTTCTTCTCCTCCGCTTAGTTTTGCTCTGTTGTCGATGAATTTAATATCTCAAAACCATTCGAAGGCCTCTTCGTAAGAGTTTTCTCGAAGCAAACATGGCAGAGAGCACGATAAAATGGAAACTCTTGAAGATGCTTTGAAGATGTTTGATGAAATGCTCCGAATCCGTCCTCTTCCTTCTGTTGTTTGTATCAATCAGTTGTTGGGCCAAATTGCCAAAATGAAACATGTTTTCAAAAACTATTAATTATTAAATACTATTATTTATTTATTTAGGATTAAATTATTATTTATTTAATATATTAAATACGATTACATATTTTTAAAAATTAAACTATTAAACGCACTTTCAGTTTTTTTTAAAACTGAAATTAATATCTGAATAAAATTACCAAACGCATTTTCAGAAATAATTCTAAAATGAAAATGAAAACGTTTTCATTTCCATTTTTCCACAGAAAACAAAATCATTTTGAAACGAATTCTAAACGCACCCTATATGTTTTGTTCTGCTATAAAATGCTGGATTTTTTGTCATAAAGATGGTTGCCTTGTTGTCACAAAATATCTCCGTTGCTCCCTCTTGCCTTTGTTGAAGTTCAGCTAACATTCTTCTTAACCACATGGCTTGACAAGCTGCTGAAGTGGCTGCAATGTACTCAGCTTCTGAGGACGACAATGCTACTATGACTTGCTTCTTTGAGCTCCAAGTGATTACTCCTGATCCAAGAGTAAAAACATTTGCTGAAATACTCCGCCTATCATCTAATGAACTTGTCCAATCACTGTCCGTGAACCCACATAATTTGATGTTGGAAACTTTTGAGTACCAAATCCCATAATCCATAGTTCCAGTGATATAACGCAAGACCCGCTTCGCTGCTCCAAAATGAAGCTTTGAAGGATGTTGCATAAACCTGGAAATCACACCAACAGAAAATGCAATATCGGGTTGAGTGTGGGTTAGATAAATTAAACCTCCAACCAAGCTTCTGAATCTTTTATCATCAGCCATCTTTGCCCCATCTTCACACTGCAATTTTTCATTGATATTCATGGGTGTAGCTGGTGGTTTACAATCAACCATGCCAAATTTATTAAGAACATCCTTAGCATATTTTCTTTGGGAAATGAAAATTCCATCTACTGCTTGTTAGACTTCAAGGCCAAGAAAATAATGCAGCAAACCCATATCAGACATTTCAAACTCATGCATCATACGTGATTTAAACTCAGCCACAAGAGAACTAGAGGAGCTTGTATAAATGATATCATCAACATAAAGACAAATAATGATGAAATCATTTTTACCTTCCTTCTTCACATAGAGAGTGGGCTCATTCTCACTTCTCAAGCATCCATTTTGCTGAAAGTATCCATCAATTTTACTATACCATGCCCGAGGAGCCTGCTTCAATCCGTACAATACCTTTCTCAACTTGTACACCTTTTTCTCTTTGCCTTCAATCATGAAACCTTCTGGTTGAATTACGTAAACTTAACATAATTATCTCACTCCTTAACATAATAAAATGGATAGATTGCAAACTCATGTTTTCGTATATTTTGTTTGTTCAAATTGTTTGCGAACTTTGTATTCATACTTTTTCAGAATGATACAGTCATTAAGATAATAAAGATTCAAGAGGTTTTTTATTTGTTATTTTGTTTACTTGTTTATATCTTATTTTATATCTTTACCCTAATTTTCACATCCCTTAATATAATAAAAATAAATAGATTGCAGACTCGTGTTTTTGTGCATTTTGATTGTTTTAAATTGCTTGCAAACTTTGTACCCATTTTTTTCATAATGATAGTCAGGAGAGATGTTTTATTTATTGTCTATAACTTGTATTATATTTTTACTAAGGTCTCATTCACTTTGCAGATTTGAGTTTTTAATTTTAAGTTTCTACAGTAAAAGACTCTAAAAAAAATGTCACATCTAACTTTTTCTGCTACAATAAAAAGTTCTCAGAAAATGTCACATCTCAGCTCAAATCAAAAACTTAAATCCGCAAAATGAACGAGACCTAAAATTTTATTATTCCTTAATATGATTAGCTTTCTGTTTTAGGGTTTTGTCTGCTATTTTGTGCATATTTGTTTATTTTTTATTTAAAAAATTTTGGGTAAATGTTTTTTTATTTGTTTAAAAGTTTTTTTCTTGAAATAATTAAATTTAATTATTTTGACTTTTTATATTTAAATATGAATATTCATTATGTTATATATCTTTCCCATTTTATCGATTTATTAGGGTTCTTTTTTTATTATTATGTAAAGATATGAATGTCCTTATATGTATGATAGCAAATAATTTTCTAAATAAAAAAATAGGCCTTTTTAGATTTAAAATGTTCTAAATAGACATTTGTGTAAATGACCCTATCTTAGTTTTCTAATTGTGACGACTTTGAGGCTTGTTTGCTTAATCATTTTTTCATCAATTAAAAGCAAGAAAAACGTTTACTTTAATGTCTAAAATGTCTCATCCACCCATGAATCTTGTCTCACTCCCACCAAACAAATCTCCACAATTGTGTTAATAATAATTAAATGTTTGAGAACTATGATAAATAGGACCCATTTGCTTAGTTAAACAAAACAAAAACAAAAAAACAACACAAAACAAAAGCCATCATTTTTCCTGCTGGAAATACAGAAAAAAAAAAAAAAAAAAAAAAACACACACACACACACACACACACGCGGCTATGTCCCAATCAGTGTCACATTTCAGCTCCGCTGTTCGAATAACCATTTGATGCGCCAAATGCTGCTTATATTATGGTAATAAACACAAACGAATACTTCATAATGACCAACCCGAACATTGAGGGAAAAAGGGCACAAGAGATAAAAGTATCTTTTTCTCTCCTTTTCGGCAGAAAATAAGAGTGATCGAAAAGAATATACATATATTGATTAACATGCATGTATTTACCAAACAAGTCCATTGATTTATCTCCAAAAACTCTCTCAACATTTTTACCTTGCAACTTTCAACGTCTAAGGTTGCATTTAGTATAAGATTTTAAATCAGAGTAATTTTAATTTTAAAATAAAAATCATGATTCATAATTTAAATTTAATATCCAAATTATGATTCTAAAACTAAAATTAGAACTAGAAATTTGAACCATCAAAACTAAGGGTGGGAAGGTTTTACTTTTTAGGTAATTTTAAATTAAAACATCACAACAAAATTCAAACTTTTAACTAATTTTTAAAATTTTTTTCTTTTTTACAAACAAGTAAAAATTTACATCCGAACCATAACTCTCATATTAAGCGCAACCTAAATCTTCTCGTTGACTCTAAGCAAATGAGAAATCTCCTCACTGGACAACAAAAGGCGACATGGGAAAGAGACTAATTAGAAAGAACCGACAGGCAATTCAAGAAGGAGATGCAATCAACGCAACAAAAACATCACACCCACTAAAGTATACCCAACTTGTCCACCTTTTCGGACCACTTGTCTTATCTTTAAGAGAAAATTTTGGCAAGCGGAGAAAAAACTAAAAATAGAAAGAAAAAAAAAATCAAGAGAGAGAGAGCAAAATCCAGTGGCCAGCAGCTCATCTTTAAACCCACTCTAGTGAAGTTGGTGTCTTTCTTCTCACCACTACTACTACTACTCAAAATGGAGCAGTTAAGGTTCTATACAAAGTACGCTTTTTTGGAACCTCCAACGCCGTTGGGGCTGCCAAGTAGAACTGCTCAAACGTTAAAACAACAAAAATAAGAAGAAAAAAATTAAAAAGAAAAAAGATTGTTATAATCTCTCGCACTAATTCCATTTATTCAAATGATCAAAAACCAAGGATTTTTTTTTTCTTTTGTAACTTTTAAGTTAATTTAAGCAGTAAGTAGTACCTGTGTTAGTTGGTTTTTGATCCTAGCATTCTCTTTCCGCAAATGAGCAACTTTATGTTCTAACTCATTTGTATAAGCCTGCAAGAGAATTTTATTTTTTAAAACCAACTTCATAAGCGAAAAAACCTCAACCTTCTTTTCCCTTAAAAACAAGAAAAAACAAGAAAAAACATAATAATAATAATAATAATAATAACAAGAAGAAGAAGAAGAAGAAGAAGAACAACAACAATAAAGGAAGAGAAGATTCCTGTTTTCGGGCTCTTGACCGAGCAGCTGATTCTCTGTTCTTCATCAAGCGCTTCCGTTTCACTTCACTAGAATCATCGCTATTTTGTTGGACCCTTTTCTTGTCACAAGCAGGAGAATCCAAAGCAGGTTTTTTGACAAGAAAAGCACTAGTTTCGAGGAACTTGAAACCCAACTCGGAATCGGAATTCAAGCTTAGTGAGGTACGTTGTTGGGACAGAGAACCGAATCCGAAAGAAATGGTGTCGCCGGCGGACGACACGTCGTTTGGTGGTGGTTGGTCTTTGTAGGAAAGGAGAGGTTTGGAGAATAAATCTTGGAAATGGAAGGTTTGGGCTGTGGTGGTAGTGGAACTTGAACGGTGAGGGTGGTGGAGTGAGGAAAGGTTGATGTCGTTCCACATTTCTTCCATGGATTTTAAGGGAGATGAGCATATGGAGAAAGATTTGAAGATCAGCATGAAAAAGAGGGAGAGGGGGAGAGAGAGGAAAGAGAATGGGGTTTTCGACGGAGAAATGGAGAGGGTAGACTTTCAAATGTAAGCTCTCACAGAATATTATATTTAATTTTTTTATTATAATTAAAAAAATTTAAAAAATATTATATTTTAACTTAAATTAAAATTTTAAATTGTAAAACGAATCAGACCATAATAAAATTTGGGATCGAAAACTCGACCCTAATTCGGGCTATGTCGTCGATCATGAGCCAACATTTGATGGTCCTCGAGCCTGATTTAAACTTCAAATTCTACTTAAGAAAGCCTTAATTAGATAGATGATTTTTAGTTAAAAAAAAAAGATATATGATAAGAAACTTTTTATGATGATTCCAGTAATTTTCGTTTTTATAACAGTAATAATAACCAAATAAGGATTAGACAAGGCCTTTAATTTGTTGGGAGTTTCTCAATTAGAACTAAAAAATAAGAATTAGGGAAAAATTTTTATTTTTAATTATTTAATTTATATTTAAAATTATTTAATTTAAGTATTTTTTAATTTAATGTGATTTTAATATAAAAGGCTACACGGAAAGTTTCTAAGGGCTTATTCTTTTGAGTGAAAAACTTAAAAAAAGGTAACTTGAGTTACAATTTTATTCGAGTTCATGCTCTTTTAAGTTTAAACTCGAGTTCAAACTCGAGTTTAGGACTAAAACTCGAGTTCAAGTTTTCCCTTCAACTCGAGTACAGAAACTCGAACTCAAATTAATGAACAGTATTTTTTCTATTACCCATATACCCTATTAAAATTTTTTATCAGCATTGAGTTTTTATTAAAATACTATCTAAATATAAATTCAAGTTTTGACTCACTCAAACACAAACTCAAAAAGATTCTTATCTCAAACCATAATTCAAATGTACACAACCAAACACAAAGTCAAGTTATAAGTTTAACTCAAGTTATAACTCAAATTTAACTCAAAAATTATTCTCAAGTTAAACTCTAAAAGAACAAGCTCTAATTTGTTTAGAGACAAGGCATATGTAAAAAGGTGTTCAGCATTGAGCAGTGTTACATACAGGTGTTTTAGGTCTTATTTATTTTATTAATTTAAATTTAAAATTTAAGTTTTATTATAATAAAAAATTCTTAAAAATAATTTTATTTAATTTTTTTATTATAATAAAAAATTCTCATAAAATTATATTTTAATTTAAATTAATAAACTAAATAAGACTTTAATTAATTGTCAACGATGTCATCCTACCTTCTGGTTAATTATACCACCGCCGGCATTTCAATTTCAAAGTCGTCATTCCCTTTAAGTTCCTCGAGAATGTTGCCAATGCCAGAGCCTCAGGCTCATATCAAGTAAATAGCCTCTAATTAAATGGCACGTGTACACAACAAAAACAAGCAAAAAAAAGTGTAAAGTGACTCGAAAAACACTTTTTTTCTACTAACTAAACAAATAAAAATAAGAAATTTTTTAAGTAGTTCGTTAATTTAAATTTTTAATTTAAGTTAAAATATTATTTTATATAAAATTATTTTATAATAATAAAAAAATTAAATCTGACTATTTTTAAGAGTTTTTTACTGTAATAAAATTTAAATTTTAAATTTATATCAGTAAAATGAATGAAATTTTAGTATTCTTTTTTTTAAAATATTTGTTTTTTTTATTTATCAATCGTCAAATATGTATTAAATTTGGCAAAAATTCAAATCATATTAAAAAAATAATACAGATTTAATGACTAATAAATAAAAAACACATGTGTTCTAAAAAAAATCAGAAAAATTCTCTAAAAATAAAAAATAAATCTATCGCTTAATTTTTAAGGTGTGTCTAATTAGAATGGTGATATAGTAATAATAATAGTAACGACAAAATAATGGAATGGAATAGAATACATTAAAAGCAAATTCTAATTCTTTTATTTAGTCGGAGTAATGAAATAACTCTAGAATAGATGGAAATGAATCGTACTTTAACAAATATATACTTAAACCTATGACTATCCTTTTAAACCAGAACCAAGAACGAACAAACCCAAATCTGAGGGAAAAAGAGAGCCATTTGAACAACCCCAAATCTAAAATCATATATTCCATACAAAAAAATTATTAGAAAGTCTATCACAAATTGGAAAAAAAAAAAATTTTATTACATGGTTCTAACGAACTAATTCTATAAAACAAAAGAAAAGTTAAGATCATCAAAGGAATAACTCCAAGAACTCAAGATTTACAAAGGAAGAACGGATCCAGATCTAAAAAAGACCCAAATCTGAGTCCGTTTGGTACCTAGATTCATTGTCTGATTCGAATCATGGTTCGTGATTCGTTACAGTATTTTCTCTCACAAAAAATACATGTAAATCGAAAATGATTCTAATCACCTGGTTTGAATTCATGAACCAAAACGCCATCAAAAGAAGCAAAATTGGTTTCATGTGTTTAGCCCTTGAATTTATTTTATTCTCTCTAATGTCTTAGAATTTTGCTTACTTGACGGTAATGATGAGTCGTTTTTTGGCATTTTAGCCAAAAACAAAAGTTTTTTTTTCCGGTAATAATAACAATATTAATTTCCAAATCATGAGAGTAAGATGATGGAGCTACAAATTTGATAAAAAAAAATTTCAAAAATAGACGTAAAAACAAAGAATGATTTCAAACTCACTCACATTCCCGTTCATTTCGCTGATTCGAGTTTAGAATTTGAGTTGAGATGTGATTTTATGTGAGAGCTTTTTACTGTAGTAAAAAAGTTAGATGTGATTGTTTGTGAGAGCTTTTTATTGTAGCAAAACTTGAATTCTAAACTCGAATCAGCAAAATGAACGGGACTTGTCGACATATTTTTATCTCTTTTTCATATGAATTTCTGATGGGGAGCCACTAATTTAACAGCAACTAAAATCGAAGTATTGTGACATGTAAAGCAAAAGTCAAGAACCAACTTAAATAGGTATATTCACGTATCATCTACCAAAATAACCTTTTATTTTGAAATGAGTAATACTTAGTAGGCTTGTTCGTTTTGCGGATTCAAATTTTTAATTAAAGTTGAGATGTGATATTTTTTGAGAGATTTTAACTGTAGCAAAAAAAAAAAAATTAAATGTGATATTTTTTTAGAATTTTTAACTGTATAAACCTAAAATTGAAATCTCGAATCGATAAAATGAACAAACTCTTAAAATTGTGACCAAACAACATTGCTGAATGCCTCCCCGCCGCACTGCCAAATGCAAGCTACGATACCCCATCAAACCAGTCCCCACAACTCCTGTTACAACCGACCACACCACTCATTGTCACACCTAACCTAGAATGACAATCGCAATTAGCTAACTTGAACCCATATACATGTTGCGCTCAAACGTTAAGGTGATGCTTTGCTCCTCCCTTGCGTTGCCTCCCTTTGCACATAGCATTTTAATTTTTATTTATTTGAGTAACTTTGAATTGGAATTTTGCTTACTTGACGATAATAGTGAATTATTCTTTGGTATTTTAGTTTTTTTTAAAAATAGTTCGTTCTTCGTTAATTATAACAAGAATTTCTTTTATGAATCATGAGAGTAAGACGATATAGCTTTGAATTTGTTTAAAAAAACTTTAAAAAGAGTCCTAAAAACAAAGAATGATTTCAAAGTTACTCATGTGATTAACACGATATATTTCTTTCCCTTTTCATATGAATTTCTAGTGGAAGGACCACTAACTTAACAACAACTAAGATCGGAGTAGTGTGTCATATAAAGTTAAAAGTCAAAAACTAACTTAGATTGAATATATTCACAGATCATCTTTCAAAAATACCTCGTGTTTCAAAATGAATAGTTTCGTAGAATCTCGTTCGCTCATAATATTTGCTCTTTTACAGAAACACCAACAAAATATAAGATATTCTTTTACAAGGATTACAAATACATAGTGGAAAGAATAATATTTTTATCATACATTGAATCATTGGAGGAAAAACACATGTTATATTTACACTAGCAGAGAAAAGAGAAGTCGCTTAGCAAAACAAGCGCAAAATTGGTGTTCATAATTCAACCAATACGTCATATCCAAGCTATTCAGCAAAACTCATACGCAGCGCAGGCTCAACGTTGTTAGGGGTCCAAGGCGAAATTTTAAATAGATCTTTCGAATAATTACACTTGCTTATGTTATCAGTTATCATAAGTTTTTTAAATAGATGAACCAATCATCAATTATGTTTTCTCTATATGATGTGGGACCCAATTAGTTAAGGTTTTTGATTATTAAAAATTTAATAAGAAATTAGAGAGGGGAAGAGAGCACGGAAGATTTAATGTGAATCAACAATATATCTATATCCACGATTAGGATTTTAAAATTTCAATCGCTCTTACTTTTCCATGACCAATTTAACACAATTATTGACAAAATCGACCACATTGCAACAATGTAGCAAATTCAAGGAGAAGTTTATGAGGAAATTCTGAAAAGTTAAAGGAGTAACTACTAAATATCCTAATAGTTATTACTTATGCGGTATGCCTCCAACTTTTTTATAATATAAATTTCTGAAAAATTTTGAAGTTCTTTACACGAGTGATTTAATTAGCTTTCCCAACCTTTATTTTGTTTTCTTTTATATTTTATAAAACATCTTACTGCTAAGGATGTAAGTAAACAAAACCATAACATTATAAGAATTCTTAACAAAAATGAAAGCAATAAAAACAACGTAATAAGAATTCTCGTTAAGAATGATAACTATTAATATAATAGGATAATGAAAATAGTAAAGAGAACAAATAATCAAATGATATTAAGAACAAATAATCTTTTAACTCTATTTTATCTTTTAACTCAGAAGAACCTTTTCCGGAGAAAGCATGATTAAGAACAAGTTTGAAAGAAAAATATTCAGTTGTAAGAATAAAATTGAAGTGCATAAACAGGTTTTCTAAAAGGATTACAAAATATTTGAAATGACAAGAGAAGTTTGACACTATATAATCAATTGTTAGAAGGAAGAAAAAAAAAAGCATAAATTTTAAAAACTAATTTTAAGAATTAAAGATTTGTTTTTTTTTAAGAAAACTAATTAATATATTCAATATCAGAGGTGTAAAGGTCATTTGTTTTTTTTCCTTTTTTTTATTTTTTTAATGGGGGCTTTTCTTCATTTTTTTTTTTTTTTTGAGTAGTAACTTGACGGATCTCGCCTTAATGCTTAATGGCCTTCGCCTACCCGATGGATAACTCGGTACCAAAAACCATGCAACAAAATAGTACCAAAAAAATAAATAATCATCCACACCAAAAGCCAAACTATACAACTCAATAAATGCTGTCTCAAAAAAAAAAAAAAAAAAAAAAAAAAAAAAACCCAAAAATTCCTCAACTGGATAAACAATCCAAGTTCTGTCCGCCTCGCTCTCGTCTTTTTACTTTATACTAAAATTATTTTTATTTCGTCTCTCTGGCTAGCCTCATCCGTCACAGCTTCAGAAAATAAGAGAAAAGGTGTAGCCCCACCAGTTCTTCCATCAAACTCTCTGATTGTATAAACACTATTTGACATTATTGTGGCAGCACAAATCAATCAGTTTAAAACTTTAATGAGTAACCTCTCCATTGACGAGTTGTGACCGGGCATTCGATTCAGTTGAATGTTGGTACGGACGATCATCAGAGACATCATGATCAGCTTTGCCTGATATGCTATTTTGGCTGGGAACAGCTTCCTCCAATGTGATCTTTTGAAGAGATGCTGTCACCAAATTCTGACTTGAACTACCACGGGATAGTGAGCCTGACTCTGTGGAGAGTCGACCGGAAGTCGGCACCCATTTCATCCAATCATTACGTCTCCTAATCTTGTCATCCTGCAGCAACCTCAATAGTAGAGTCAGACAAGCAATATAAAACATATAACTTGGCAACTCCTTGAAACTTCTATTTTTTTTTTTTTTTTTTTTTTTTAAAAACCGAAATGTTTTTAAAAAACCAAATAGATAACAGTACCAAATGAAGCGTAAATCCATTTTTCCACAACTGATATGGGGAACCACAGGACATAGTGACAGAAGGAATTTACCTGAACTTCCACTACTGAAGAAGCTCTCAACGAACTCAATATTACTTGGACGTTTGTTGTCAAATTTTTCACCTGCAAGAATAGAGCGACAAGGGAAAAAGTATGAGCTCATGTAATATGAGAAGCAAATGTTCACTAATGACTTCACAGTAATGTTTTGAGTCAACCAGCACCATTAGAAAATCGGTCACAAGGAAAGAGAAGTCCTAGGTTCAGAAAGAACAAATGCTACACAGAGAGAATACAAGATTCCAGTGCCCATAACAAATGTCAGCTAGACCACCAACAAGCCAGACACCGATAGAATTCATGAGATTAGCTCCTGGCAAAAATCTTTTACTTCTTCCACACATCAAGGGGATATGTAATATGCGGATTTACATATATGGTAAAGCACAAATGACAATCAGATATTTGATTCTAACAATCGGAAATCTACACCAAATAATCTAGACTTGAGGTACAATCCACAGCACAAAATTCCCTTAGATTTTAATTCAGTTTGTAATTGCATGTATTCAAAGCAAAAAACATATGAAAACAACTGCAAAATACCTAATTTTAAAGGGAAAATACCAGATTGTACCACTGACGCATAAAGAGAAGAACTTCCTCGAGAAACTTAGAAATCAGCTCACCACAGAAGTTGCAAAGTTAACCCCAAAGAATAAACAAAATCATATAGAAGAAAATTCACATGTCAAACTCTCTAGATATCTCAGAAGTTCTTATTGACCTTTTCACAATGACTCACTAGCTCAATACACGGTACCAATCTAAGTACTTTAGTGTTTAAGATAGTCTCCTTGATGTATTAAGCAACAACAAAGACTGAATCTTTACTCCTATTGAGATTGTAAATTATTTAAGTTAATATTTTCAATTCCCTAATTCTTTGGCAAGATAAGCTTTTAACATCACAAGATGTCAGCCTACAAAGGTCCATTCATCTCCGATTCAGTCACAATCACAAACAATTATGTTATATGATTGAATGCCAGAAGACAGCTTTTAAAAGCTTACCTTGGCCAACATGTCCAAAAGTAATCAAGGAAACAAACACCTTATAGAAAGGCAAAACAGGCAAATGCATGTCACCACACAGACTGAATGAGTTGAGATCATGCTGTCATTGTCTACCGTTACAAAGAGAAAAGGCAAACTTAGTCGACCACAAAAAACTTACTCGAGGAAAGCTTGCTATTAAAGAAATGGGAACCCAGCCTTGATCATCCATGTTTGACCTTAAAAATTCGTCTCTTATTAAATTAGCATCACTGCAACATGGGTAAACTAGAGTCAAGACTTGAAACTCCAAACTGAGTAAGGGGATAATTAAATATAGTTTATACTCAGAAAGAATGAACAAAAGGCCAGAATACAATTACCTGAAATAATAATCTATTTGGTTAACTAACAGAGCAGGTAAAGGAGGTTCTGCAGGAGAGCCATACATTGGAGGAACCAACGGATGAGGATATGGTCCACCTCTCATGTCAAAAGGATAGGGAACATAAACAAGATCTGGAAAGTAATAGCAACGTTAACTTATATTCCCGTAACAAGAACAAACACTCTTGCAGTAATATATATATATATATATATAGATTCACCTGGCCGTGGGTAACCCATATGGTTTGGGAAGGGTCTAGCATGCGAAGGTGCAATAAATGCAGCAGGATTGGGTGGCGGTGGAGGCCTCACAAAGCCCCGAGGAGGAGGAGGAGGGGGAGGACCTCTTTGCGGCTGCACATGGGCATCTCTACCATTACCAAAATTTCCACGGTCTTGGTCACGCCTACCCCCATAATTATTGTGGTAGGAACCATCTCCGGGAGACTGGTGAACGAAATTCCCTCTGCGGGAGGAATTCCGGTGATCATTTACAGAATGCTGCGGTTGAGACATAAGCCCCTGCACTGGTCTGCGGAAGGATGGGTCTCTTGGAGAAGAGTCAGGAATTGCCGGCATTAGATTCCCATAAGCATTTGGCGGAATTGGAAAGATAGAGAATTGTGGTGGTGGTGGTGGTGGTGGGGGTGGCGGCGGCGGAGGGTGTGCAAAGTTGCTATGAGCGGGCCCACCTCCAGCGCCGCCACGTTTCATCGGTCTTTGCCGATTATGCAAGTGATGGTTATGGGTTGAGTTAGGGTTTGCATTAGAATTAGCATGTTTCTTGGGAGAATTTGTTTTAACAGGTCCCTATCATCAAACATAAATGATCAAACACACATGTTAATTAACCAATTCATAAATTCACAACCAACAACGAACAAATTGCTTGGCCAAGCAGATTACTCAATCCAAAAATCATCAATTTAATAGCTTTTCATCATCGCATCGCGACCCAAACACACAGAACCTAAAATTCAGCAATTTGCTTTTCGAATTCCATTAATTAATAAAAAAGTAAATAAAAAAGAAGAGCGAAAAGAGGACCAAAGTTCAAAACCTGAGAAGAGGAGACCGATCCATCAGCGAGAGGCTTCGACGATGAATCAGCAGACTGTTTAGGTGGTGCCCTCGCGGACTCGGAGAGAGCGGGCCAAATATCAGCACCCATTACAGAACCAACCTCGACGACGCCGTTTGAGGGCTTCTTCCAAGCCGGCTTCTTCGGCTTCAAGGCAATGTCGCTGTTATTACCATTGGAGTTCTCGGCGGCTAAGGAATTATTCATCGGCGGCGGCGAAGAAGGAGACGGAGCCGCCTTGGAAGGAGAGCAATCGGAAAAAGGGATTTGGTCCGATACGGAAGGGGCGAGCGAGGAGAGCGATGAGGACGAGGAAGGCGGAGATTGATGAACGGTCGGGATTGATTCCGGCTCGCCGCGGACCACTTGGGCCCACGGAGAAGAGAGAGTGGCTCGCCGTAAGCGAGGACTTTCGACGGCGTCGGCGGCGAAAAATTCAGGAGAGTGGTGGTTGGAGGAAGAAGGATCGGCAGCCGAAGCCATTGCCGAAAATTAGGGTTTTGAGTTCGGAGCAACAAATCTTTCTTTTGATCAGTATAATAAAACAGAAATAATAGACAAAATAAAAATAAGAAATTTGCGAATAATTAATCAACTAATTAAATTAGAAAAAAAGTGTAGGGAACAAAACAAAAGGTTAAATTTGGCTAGTGGGAGAGGAATTTATTTAGGGTTTGTGATTGCAAAAATGCATTGATCTTTTTTTTTTTTTTGGTGGGAAATTAAAGACAGATCTCGCAGGAAGAAGCAAACTTAACCGCCCGCTCTCTCTCTCTCTCTCTCTCTCTCTCGATCTTTGTATTTCGCTGCTGCGTTTCTTCTGAAACCTTTGGGTGTTGGAAAATTTTCCTTATAAATGAAACAACAATTTTATCAAAAGCCCAGGCTTTTTCGACTATTTTACGGATTCGCCCTTTTCTCCCAGGTTTTTACGTTCTTTTTCTTTTTCCTTTTATTTTTAGTTTTTTTTTTTTAAGAATAAGAAGGAAAATAACATAATTAGTATAACATATTTTTTTAAAAATAGTAAATTATAGCATAATTTAATATTTTAAATTTTAAATTTTATTAAAAACTCAAAAATATCTTTAAATCTTCTTTTTCACTTTATTTATGTCCTCTAAACATCTATTTTTTTTAAGAAATAGTAAATTATAGCACACTTTTTAAAGTAGGTAGATTATAATTAAGGAGACGTTTGGTTCATGGATTAGAATCATAAGATTAGAATCATTTTTGATTTACGTGTATTTTTTGTGAGAGAAACACTGTAGCGAATCATGAACCATGATTCGAATCGGAGTACGAATCCCACAACCAAACAACCCCTAAGTCTACTATGGCCGATTCCGGCGACTAGCGGCCGGCTCCAGTGACCTGTGACTGTTTTCATCGGCCAGTGACAGTTTTTCAGAGACTGTTTTCCGGCGACCATATAACATTATATTTACTGGTAAATACTATATTTACTGATAAATACTGTATTTACTAATAAATATTGTATTTATTGGTAAATACTGTATTTTCCATTTAATATCGTTTACTAGTGAACATCATAATTATCCGAAAAGCTAACCATTGACTCCGATGACCGTTTAACGCTGTATTGACAGATAAATACCGTATTTACTAATAAATATTGTATTTACTAATAAATATCATATTTACCCAAAAATCGGGTCACAGACTCCGGTGACCGTTTAGCACTGTATTTATCAGTAAATACTGTATTTACTAGTAAATATCATATCCATTTAAAAATTTGAGCACCGACTTCGGCATTCGTTTAACACCGTATTTACTACAAAAACTGTATTTACAAGTAAATACCGCATTTACCAGTAAATACCGTATTTACTAGTAAATATCATATTTATCTAAAAATTTATTCATTGACTCCGACGACCATTTAACACTGTATTTATCAGTAAAAACCATATTTACTAGTAAATATCATATTTACACAAAAATCTGGTCGTCGACTCCACCGACCATCTAACACTATATTTACTGGTAAATACCGTATTTTCCAATAAATACTATATTTACCTATAAATACAATATTTACTAGTAATACCATATTTATTATATTTATCTGAAAATCCAGCGATTGGCTCCAACGACTGATAAATACTATATTTATTAATAAATATATTTACTATATTTATCATAAAATCTGGCGACTAGCTTTATTGACTGGGAAATATTGTATTTATCTATAAATATCATATTTACCATATTATTTAAAAATTTGGTGACTATCTCTGATGACTGATAAATACCGTCTTTATCAATAAATATCGTATGTATTGACATATACAATATTTATCAAATAGAGAATTGAATTCAATAAAGTATTATTGCAAAATACAATATTTACCATCTTTAAATTCGAATTCAGCGAAGTATTTTTAACATCTCGGTAGCGGCAAATACTATACTTACTCGGAAGTTTGAGGGTGTGCGCCGACGATGGTAAATAATGTATTTACATGTAAATACGTAATTATTTTCTATCTTGTAAAAATCTAAAGAATTCATATAATTACAAAAAATTTCTACAAATTAACTACTCTCTCTTTCTCTCATCTCCCTCACAATCTTTCTGCTTCTGTTGAGATCACCATGGTCTCCGGCGTGGAATCACAACGGCGACAGAGATCGCAATGATCTCCAATGACGCGCAGCCGCCGTCTCTCTTATCTCCCTCGCGATCTTTATGTTTCTGTGGAGATCACCATGATCTTTGGTGAGGAGTCGTGACAGCGACGGAGATCGCCGTGATCTCCAATGACGTGTGGCTTCGTTCAGGCTTCGACAATCATTATTTCCGGTGACCGAGGACAATGGCGAGGCCGTCACCAAGCTCAAATCACGCAACTCAGATTGTTCAACGAGATCCGAATGTTGGGTTTTAATTGACCATGTGGGCTTATATGTTTATTATTGTGTGTTAGAGGCTATCATATTAGGTTGAGCCCATTTAATGTGATATGATAAGGTTTTAAATATTTTGGGCTTTAGTGCATCTAATTAAGTGTGGGCCTTTTATGTGTAGAGACCAAATCATTATTTCTACTTTTATGATGGGCCAAATTAGAAATAATGAAAGTTAATAGGGAGTTAACTTATATACGGTTATGGTCCCCAAATCATACGTACGTTTCATTCTATCTCTGACATCCCATCTTCAGAGAAAATAGAGAGAATCCAAAAAGAAACTCCAAAGGACTACGTGTAGATTTGGAAGACTAACCGCAAGGCTTGTGATTTGCTTCTATCATGACTGATTCAGGTACGCTTCTGCTTAGATCTTAAATTCTTGGTGATACAACATGAATGATCCGGTATTTGGTGATGGTTTTCACCCTAAAGCAATTTGACTAACAAGTGGTATCAGAGCCTATTCATGTTGAATCATTAAGAATTGAAATTTTTAGATTTGATTATGGTTTTACAGATTCAAGTTTAGATATAGATATATATACACGTGATTAAGTTTTGATTATTCAATGAATTTAGGATATTTTTCAGATATGTATATGTTGACGGTAAAAACTCGTCAATAGAAATAGGCCGGGTCACCTCTAGGTATCCCGTTGGATTACCGGCTTGATATTGACTGTATACTCAATTTATGTAGTGAAGTGTTTGTGGTATTTTTTGAGTGGTGAGCAATATAAGATATATATGCTTAAAGTAGAAGAACACACGAAATTTATAGTGGTTCACTCTGTTAATGAAGAGCTACATCCACTGTAGTTTTATATTATTTTTTAGATGGTTACAATTTACATCAATTGTTGCTCTCTCATTTTTAATCTCAGGAAGCCAACCTCCTCCCTGTATGGGGCTTTGCCCCTTTTATAGCCGAGCTTTCTTCGTCGGGTGGGTTTCCTTTGTAGGCAGAAGCACTCAAGTGGTCTGCCTTTCTAGGCCCAAACCGTAGCCCACTAATCACTTTTGCGAACTGTTCACTCAGCCAATTAGTCTCCCATTACGGCTCTATGCGTAGCTGTAACCCTTTTCTGTCCCCCGTAGAGCGGTTTAAGGGTTTGCAATTAATGCCTGTACTGCAGACATCCCCCGTTTCTGCACGCAACTTACGATGTCAGGCTTTCCCCTTTTGGGGCATTCCTCTCGCTGTCTCTATTTGCTCAGCCTAGTTGTCTTTCTTGGCAATTGATTTTCTCCCGAAGGATTTCCGTCGTAAGGTCGACGGTACGACCTGTCGTCATCATGAGGAGTCGGCGTCCTAAGTTGGGCTTCCTTTGCAGTAGAAGGAAAGGGAGCCCCCAACGTTGAAGGTTGTTGCCTTTTAAGGGAAAGCAAGGCCACGTGTCACACTATTGTTTTTTCACGCGTCATCCACATTTTCCCACACAACAGCTGCCCCCAGGTCGAGGGTTTCTTTTAGACAGCCTCGAGCTTAGGTTCGGTCGTACCTTCGTGCTTCGGGTGTGGGAACCTGATCCTGAGCCTTCGTCTGCAATGATGGTCTGGATGCTTTAGATTTCCTCGAGGAACACAACCGTCACGTCGTTCGCTTCCCCATGCTGACGTAAGGCTTTATTTCGAAAAGACGAATATAAGCCCTCGGATCGTATCCCTTCATCTTCTCTCCTTCATTTTGCTGTTGTTCGATTTGGGAAAACTGCCCCTGCCGTTGGATTTTCATGAGCTTCATCTGACGGTCAGGGGTCGATGGCCTGTTTTCCTTTAAATATTCTTCGAACCGAAGCCATTCTTTCCCAAACTTTTAGAACTGCCGTTGCTCTACCTGAATTTCTCCTCCTGAATTTCTGACTTGCGCTCCTTGCTTCTTTTGGTGCATCGTGAAGCTACTTGGTTTCCAGACTCCGCCCAGACTCTGACTTATAGGTAAGCTTTAATCATTGTTTATTTGCGTTGCTGGATGATTTTAGTGGCTTTCTCAGTGAATCATATGCATGTGTTGATATGCGAAATGTAGAGGACAATAACTTACTATGCTTTATTTGACCCACGTAGGATAGTTTTTTCTGATTTCTGGTTGAATGTAAGTCTCTGGCTTCTGGGTTCTGATAAACCTTGGTTGTCACGAGCGTTCGTCGTTACCATTTTTATATGAATGGTCGACATTATGTTGAGGCATTTCAGCAGTCGTTGTCTAGAATGGTCGTCGCTTAGAATGATCGCCGTTTTTTCTTTCCTCTCAACTTAAGATTTTGACTTAGCTCTTTATCTTTTTTATTATCAGAACAATGGCCCCAAAAAACACCTATTGAGAGGAACCGTCTGTTGTACGACCAGACTTCCCTTCTGTGGCGGAGATTTCATGGTCATCTTCCTCGTCGAACTGCGACTCACTATTACGGGAAGTTGAGGAACATGTGGCCGGTCCAAGCGACGATTGTAGTGATGATTATGACAGCGTCTGCCGAATGATTGACGAAGAAGTTAGTAGGAGGCCTTTCACAGGCGGCAACGTATGTGGGGTCGCTGCTTCACTGGTGGACGGCCCCCTGGCTGCTATGAGCGGAGACCCGGACAGGCCCTTCTTTACGGCCGATGTTGTGACGTCGAGGGCCCGGAACAAAGATATCGTCCGGGCTGTCAAAGAAGGCTGCATTGATGGGACATGGTTCGAATACCTCCTTCTGGATATGCATTTTAGGACTAACTGGATACCTCCCTATTTATACTAGGGCTGTCACGGCAGGGATGACCCTACCGGTCCATCCCTTTGTAAAGGACTATTGCCATTTCTATGGCATCTCCCCTGCTCAGTTGGCGCCGAATTTTTGGTATTGCTTCGTCGGTGCCTGGATTTTGTG